ACGTGGTCGGAGACGCCAACTGTCTTTGATTTTGTTCTGTGACGATTGTCTCAACTCGTCATCATGGAGGAGGCTGTCACATACAGTTGTAGCCCAAATATGGAAACTAACATGGATTTACATTTTTCTTTTGACAGCCATCTGCTATGTCTGTCTTAATACGTTACTCACAATGAAACCGCACCCAGAATAATGGAAACGCGATCACAACTTAGTCTAGATAGAACATTGGCTAGAACATCCCGGCCAGTGCTCGCATTGGCCGGCCAATGTACAAAATACGTTGTCAAGTTTAAATGCTTCGGACTTTGGCCGAGACGTACTGGCCAAAGTCCGGAGACCTTTAATTTGACAACGTATTTCATCCATTGGCCAGCCAATGCGCGCACTGGCCGGGATGTCCTATCTAGACTAAGTTGTGATCGCGTTTTATTTACTCTGGGTGCGGTTTCATTGTGAGTATCGTATTGATTGTATATCATTCTATATGCGATGCGACATGGACCAAAAGGGCCGTCAGACCAAAAGACAGACGTACCAGATGGCTGTCAAAATAAATAATCCAAATCCTAATGGAAGAGAATTTGTGAATCAAGTTACTTTTGAACTAAAGAACACAGAGGCGTAGCGACCCTCCTGGCGCCCGGGAACAACCTATCAATTTTCAATTTGCAACCCCCCCCCCCTCAAACTTTCCATTTGCATCCCCCATCAGACTTTCCATTTGCACACCCCCCCCCTGCTATATAGTTTTTATATTCATAATGCAAAGCTGCAGCTAAAATGAGATTTTAATTTGTTTTTCCAACCCATCGTGGTGCACTTTTAGTCGGCGCCCGGGGACATATGTACCCCCGACGCCCCCCCCCCCCTTGCTACGCCTCTGAAAGAACATGTGGCCTGAACCTAAACTAGTTCACGGAAATCCAAGGCATAGCCAAAGCCAAGGTTCAGAAGAACGTGCCAACCAAGATGTTCAAAACATAATGATGACATGGATGCAGACGAATGGATCAGCTCATTGGGCTGAGAGTCTCAAATTCCTTCAATTTATGAAAAAAATTCATAAACAAACTTTTAATAACAAGCTTTTATGTAATAATGCACTAAAAAGTAGAAAATAAATTATTCACTACGATTTAAATAACTATAAAGAAAAGCGTGGGTCACTTAAGTACTTATTGAATACCTTTACTAATATTTGAGGAGACCCACGCTTTTCTTTATAGTTATTTAAATAATAGTGTATAATTAATTTATTTTCTACTGTTTAGTGCATTATTACATAAAAGCTTGTTATTAAAAGTTTTTTTATGAATTTTTTTCAGTACTTTACATGTTTTATTATAGCTAAAGTTTCAGTAAAAAATTATGGGATGGCGTTCTTTTCATAAAATAATCCAACAATCACCATACGAAGCCTTGTTTGGGTGCAAAACAAAAGTGGGACTTAGCACTTCATATCTACCAAGAGAAGCTCTCGATAATTTAGTTACTGAGGGCGCTTTCTACAATCTTGGAACGGAACATGGTGTTCTAAAACAACTATATGCTAGAAGGGAGTTTTCAATTCTTCACGAAAAACTGCTCTCATTGTCGTCCTTTGGCACTGAGGAAAAAGCACTACGAACCATTGCATCTTCACAATCACTAACCGGCGGCTACATTTGCTGAAATTGCACAACCAAATGAACAACAAATCGCTGCAAGTGTAAAAATAATAAGCTACTATGTAATTCTAAATGCCATTAAAGTTCAACTTGTGTTCTTTAGTTCAAAAATAACTTGATTCACAAATTCTCTTCCATTAGGATTTGGATTATTTATTTTGGCAGCAAGATAATCTACATTTGAAATAATATTACAATAAATCTTAAAAAATTAATTTTCAAATAATTATAACTTACCATTCTCATGTTTATTGTTTACAATAAGCCGGAAATAAAAAAATGACAAAATATCTTTTAGGTTAATATAAAAATATAATGGTCTGTGAATTTTTACCTAACATGTCAGATATTAATAGAGAAAATACGGTACGAATGAGCAAAACTATACCTTTTCTTTGCACATAGTGTTCTGATCAGTAAAATCTATTTTGTACTTTTTTTTGTCACACTATAATCTCGCAGAATTTTTTAAATTGAGGTAGGGGCCTATCTAATATGTAAAGTTCAATTCTGTATGTTTGTATGTAACTAAGGGTTACAAAGGTATATAATAAAAAATAATACTTCTTTAGCGTCAAGTGTTAAATGTCTAAATTCATGATTAAAAAAATTAATATTGAAAGTATTGTAAAACAATTTTCATTTTTCAAACTTATAGTAATAATGGTCGGCATGTGCATTAAACAATTTTTTAAAAAAATATAATCTTTTACAAAAATTATAATAATGTCTGAAAATTATTTACATTTAGTTCCTTAGCACTTATTACTTCCCTCGATATATTAGGAAAACACAATTACTACCCTTTAAAAAAAGCATTACATCAGGTGGGAAAGAATATACTCTTTATCACTTTGTTTTGGTGTTGGGAAAAAAATAATTACATAATTAGCGGGGATTGATCAAGTACGATGTCAAGTATTTTTAATACTGCGTTTTATTTGTTCTAAACACTGAAAGTACTGTTTACTAATATTTTTTTTAAATAAATGACATTTAATAAGCCAGCTTCTAAATGTTCATATCATGTGAGCGCTTCGGTGCATAATTTCGCTTTAAACATTGCGATAGACTATGGATAAGAAAGGTTACTATAGTCTACAAGTGAATCAATTCCAGGCGTCCTCGGGCACCCCGACAGAATACTAATTGACGCTCCGGGCCTTCCCGTGTTCGCTATGGCGCCTACGCTTGTTTAAGTGACTGCAATTGCGTATGGTTACGTTGAAATACTAAAGTCGTTTACTAAGCTGAAACAAGCGGTTCCACCGGCGCCCCAGCATGGTGCGATTTGGTGCCAAGGGTTAGATTGTGATCACTTTGCGTTTATGTTTGCGGTTGTTTATTCTTTGAATTTTGTTGGGGTTGGATTTGCGTTTGTGGTGGGTTTGTGTTTGGATTTGGTTTGTTTTCATTTGCTTTTTTCTTTGTGTTTGTGTTTTCTTTGTGTTTGTGGTTGGGTTTGTGTTTGTGTTATGTTTGCAGTTTTTGTCTTTTGTTTTGTTTTAGTTTTGATTGTTTGTTGTTAGGGTGGGCAATGCCGGGTATATGCTGATTATTAAACACACAAGTCATGGTCCATTTAGATAGGTTTTTCAGAGATGCCAATGCAGGGCCTGGCCGGGACGGCTAGTATAATATATTATTAAGCTATTGCGTATTCATAATACTATAAATACAACTTGATCCATAAGAATTCTTGTAAATTTGAGGCGAAACATAATTATGTGTGCTAAAATATGACAATATAAATTTAACGATTCGAATTGCCTTAATGTTTCTAGATAACATTTCAAATAAAGGTTGTAAAATTTAATACGTCTTTGTATAAAAGATTTTCCAGTTTGATTTTCCAGTTCTTTAAAGAATGAAAACTGAAAACAAAAACAAAATGTCTGTTTGGAAATATTGCGTACCATTTATTGTCTTGGTGTTTGATGTGGTGGAATGCGAGACAGACCTGGAATACCAACACAGAGGAATACCCATGTTAGATGAAATAATCTACAACAGACATCAACGTAAGTTATTTTTAAAATTATATTTGATGCATGCTTTGTAGGTCGTGCGAACTGCTCTTAAAGAAGGGCAGGAAGTAAAAACCTTGCGGAAATTAGTTTCTAAGACCTGTTAACACCAGTGATAATTACTAATGTGAGCGGGTGAATGGATCATTTTGTTTTATTTTATTTGGTGCGAATCTGCGAGTGTATGGTCCAATGGTGAGCGGCCACGGGGTCCCCCTTCCGCCCGAAGCGGTCAGTATATAAACTGACCACTCGGATATTTTCTTTCTTTTTTGACCGCAAGAATTTAGGTCCGGTCAGCTTCTGTGGTCGCGCTTTGTGCGCAACTTGGCTGGGTGTTTTGTTTGGTGTAAGAAGTTTGTTTGGTATATATTGTTTTGTACGTACTGTTTTCTACGTAATGTCTTTTGTGTGTGCTGAAGCGATGAGGTGAGGGCGAAGGCGTTCCTCGTTCAATCAAGTATAAATCTGTTTCGTTTTGTTGGGTTTTGTTTGGTTTTGTTTGGTCTTGTTTTGTCTGTTTTGTGTCAGTAGTTTTTATCTATTCTTCTTTTGTGATTTTTCATTGGTTCCATATTTTTGGTAAATAAATTTTATTAATTGTTAAAGATTTTTTTAAATTATTTAGACTAAGGTTAAGGTTATTAACCAGTCTGGGTTTAGCCGGGCTTGCACTGACCGGGCGGTAATAGATAAGCCTAGGGAAGGGTAGATTTTAGGTACCCCCCTAGCAGGGCTTGCACTTAATGCTATCGCAGTCTGGCTGGCTAATGAGCAAAAACATTGAGTTAGTAAAATCTCATGGGAGAGAGAGAGAGAGAGAGAGAGAGAGAGAGAGAGAGAGGGCAGAGAGAGCATTATATTAACGAAATGTCTACTCGGAAGATTTTTCTCCCCAACGTCTCTACATAGTCGGCAAAAGATAGCTCTGCGCATGCGCAGTGACCTATGGCTAGGGTTAGGGCTAGAATGAGGATTAGGGGTAGGATTAGGGTTAGGGATAGGTTTAGGGATAAGATTAGGGCAAGGATTAGGGCTAGGGTTAGGGTTAGGGATAGGATTAGGGATAGGGTTAGGGAGAGGATTAGGGTTGGTGTTAGGGTTCTGCGGTTGTAAACACACGCATGCGCAGTATGATCGAAAACATCGCCGCGAAGGCAAGCTGTAGTTTCTCTCCATTGCGCATGCGTATCCCATGCGTATCTTATTCCGGCTAGCATCGGCCTTATATTAATTCTGTAAATGCGGAATTATTTTGAAAGTAAAATAACAAAATTTTCTGTTTCATTTACCCAGCTTACACGTGTCGCAATGGAACTAATATCTCATTTGATTTGGCTTGTAATGGCAAAAAGGACTGCGCCGAAGGCGAGGACGAATACCCTTGTAGTAAGTAACTGGGTAGATGAAATCTGTGCTTAATAGATAACTGTATCATGTGTTTTGTTCATAATCATAATGCATTTTCATAATCATTTTTCATCTTGGATTTTTAATCGGCAAACCCGTTTAATTCTAATTCTTGCATTAAAATGAGCTGTAGTCATTTTATAGAGCAAATAAAAACGTAATAAATTTATACAAAACAAAACAGTTATATGTTTTGCAAATAACGTCGCAGCATGTGTTATTCGCGATTCAAATATTAATTTATATTCTATGCAAAAAAAAAAACATTCATAGTTTGCTTCATTCAATTTAATTTTATGTTATGGCTAAGTTTTAAAACGCTAATAACTGAATGTGTTTCCTTTCTTCACTAGAAGGTTGTAATGATAATGAATACAAATGCCCCTTTAAGTTTTGCAAAGCACCTCCCATAAGGTGTAATGGAGAAGCAGAGTGTTTAGATCGACAGGATGAATTAAACTGCTGTAAGTTCATCTAGATGTGTATCATTGTGATTTACACAAAATAAAAAAAAACAAACACAAAAGTCAGTTTGCAACGAAAGTTTATAATTTTTTAAAGCTTATTTTGCGCTGTAGTGAAATATTTCAATTTAGCAATATTTAAAATGCAAATAATCAATATAAAATAAAAATGTTATAAAATGTTATGCATATTAAATTGTGTCCGTCTTTTGAAGCCATAAAAAATGGACAATTACTTTTTCAACATTAAAATGAAAGAAATGAAAGCAGTTAATTCTGTTTACTATAGTGTATTTGATTGTAAATATATCAAATACACCTAGTTAACTGCGTATGTGCATTTCTTATAATAGACTATCAAACAGCTTTTAAAAAATTAAAACTAAATATAATATAACTAGCGTGCACGTTCCCGCGTGTTGTCGGGGTCTCCTAATAAAGTCTGACGTAATATTTTAAGAGGGTTTGAACATTGCGTTACGATTTTAATATTTTATAATATTAAGATATTTAAATGTAAACAATGCCTACGTTATATATTTTGGATCTCACTTGTCCTACCTCTCCCTTGTCTCAGCTCTCCCTGGTCCTACCTCTCTCTTGTCCTACCTCTCCCTTGTCTCAGCTCTCCCTTGTCCTACCTCTCCCTTGTCCTACCTCTCCCTCGTCCTACCTCTCCCTTGTCCTCCCTCTCCCTTGACCTACCTCTCCCTTGACCTCCCTCTCCCTTGTCCTACCTCTCCCTCGTCCTACCTCTCCCTCGTCCTACCTCTCCCTTGTCCTCCCTCTCCCTTGACCTACCTCTCCCTTGACCTCCCTCTCCCTAGTCCTATCTCTTACCACCCTCCGCAACTATATTTTTTTTTATTATAGGAAATTAAAATACCGACATTAGTTGTTTCTTTAATGTCTATCTATGATCAGCAACCTGTGTCGGTGACGCATTCCATTGTCGTATCGAGGGTACTCAATGTGTATCACAAGATCGTGTATGTGACAGCAAAAAACATTGTTCTAACAACGAGGATGAACAGAACTGTAGTAAGTGCGCATGTAATTTTTAATGTAATGGCATATCTATCAACATATCTATATACTACTAAAACTCAAGTTTATTTACATGGTTGAGTATTTATTTATTTATTTATTTATTTATTTGTTAGAGCGTTCGGTTACAGGAGAGAATCTGCACTATGCGTAGAGCTATAAATAGTAATTAGGCAGAGAACAATTTTTATTAATCACAAATTTATTTAAAGACGTTAATTAATGTATTGATTTATTTATTGGTAGATTAACCTTACTAATTATAATAGTTCAGAACAATGACTTTACGTATAGTGAATAGTGACGTCACATGATTTGTTTACTTTTTCAACAACAATGGCGGCTTCCATTGAATATTTTGCTGCCTATTCGAAACTGTAACGCATTATAAAGCTAATTTTCTGTCGGCTATAGCTTTGGCGATATGTCCGTTTGCTATTTTTATTACGTTCCAACACTATATCAATTTTCAACAGTTCTTTTTATTTTAGTATACAATAAATTCTCTAGACATCTAGATCTTGAATGAAGTTATTTATAGATCTAGAATCTAGGTCAAACCAAAATTAATTATTTAGAATTAAAAAAGCTTTTTAAAATCAGAATACATTATTGAGTTTCTTTATTAAACTACTTTAGTTCTTAAATAGTTGACATAAATCTTTGCTTTTTAGCTTCACCGATCAACTTTTTCGTTAATACAAGTGATTTATCCATCTAGGTCTAGCTAGAGTGTAGAGTCTAGAGTTACGGCAAAATCTCGACTTAACCAAACCAGTCGTAGAATCTAGAATCGAGATAACTCTATCTAGACGAGAAAAATGGCCCGTTGAGGAAGGATAAAACGGGCGCTAGGTTGATAGTGCTGTCTATTTTCTCGGTACTTTAATTTATACAAAATATAGTCATAGGCATATCCCTAAACCATGCACCCAATCTCATTCATGACAAAAGTCGCATTTAGAGTTTCTTGCAAGGCAACTCTACTTTGCCCCCCCCCAACCCCCCCCCCCCACACACACACACTCCAAACCATGTCTACCTTCCCATTCAACGAAATATAATTATATACTTTTTCCATTGTCCGCCCCCTCCCAGAAAATTCTGCCCCCGCCCCCGAAAATTTCAAGTACCCCCACCCCTCTCCGGGGAGGAAAAAGTCTGAAAGAAACAGTGATCGCATTTGTAGATCATACAAACTATAGGAAGAATCACCGATCATCATTTTCATTAATACAAGTGATTTATCCATCTAGATCTAGCTAGAGTGTAGAGTCTAGAGTTGCGGCATAATCTCGACATAACCAAACCAGTCCTAGAATCGAGATAACTCTATCTAGATAATAATGAGTTTCTATACTAAACTATTTGAGACCTTCATTATTTTATATAAATCTTTGTTTGTTTAGCTATGGAATTGGCTAATTTAAGATAAAGTTTAATTTGAAAGATACTAGATCTACGACCTACTCACGTAAATCAAGTTTCTTAAACAGACTCAAACTTTTTATATGAATCATTAAAAGTGTCATGACGTCACGAGCCTAGATAGATAAGGTGATAATGTATTTGGCTTCCATGTGGGTAGACAGATTATTTCAATGTAATTTTTCTTTTCAATTTACGTCTTTTTAATGTGAGGTGTGGTTATTTTATGATGATAAGTGACAAATTTTCAAATTTATTCAAACAACGGTTACAATTGTAGGCACAAAGGCCTTTTTTCACATTGGCCGTTTAAACAAATAAAACAATTCAATAACACATAGCAGTAGCATAGCACTAAAAATGTGGAAAAAAGAAACAAAGAAACAATGTTACATAGTTATCATACATAATGAGATAAAAAAGAGAATATAATAGATGAATGAGAAATGTTACAATGAGTCAGTTAGGTCATTAAATAATTTTAGTTTTAGTTTAGATTTGAATATATTTTCAGATCTAGATAGCTTTATTTTATTAGGAAGGTTGTTCCACAAATTAGAACAAGAGTAGGCGAAGCTATGTTTTTGGAAAAAAGTTGAATATGGGAATGGTAAATTAAGACGACGATTTAATTTTATGTTAAAAGAAAATAGATCTGATAAGTAAGAGGGGGCTGTTTCGTGGAATATTTTATATAAGAAAATTGATTTAGTATATATTATCTTTTTATTTAATGGAAGTATTTTAGTTGTAAGAAAAGAATCCAGACTACTAGACAAGCCAGTAACCAGTTTTTGTGGATGACACCAGAAACCCACAGTTATCTAACTAGATAACAGGCTGTCTAGTACGTACTAATTCTAAACCCGTGTTTGTAGCAAACCCTTGAGCCCACCCTATATCAGACATTTTAGTCTGGTCGCTAATATTGACGGATTCAAGTACTATCCTAATCGTAAGTCAGATGCGTGAAGACTTGAAACGAATCTGACAGTTAAAAGTGCCCAAAATTTTGCTCGCCCGTTTCGATCTATGTCGACAGAAAGATTGTCGACAGACTGACGACAGACTGGCAGAGAAAGCTTGTAAAAAATTCATTAAAAAAGTTAGAAAGCTTGTATGTAATAATGCACTAAAAGTAAAAAAATAAATGATTTTCTTTAAATGTGTAATAACAATAAGGAAAAGCGTTGGTCACTTTATTATATATTGGCTACCTTTAATAATATTTAGAAATAGACCCACGATTCGGGTAGCTCAAGTAACAATATAAAAAGGATTTGTTATAGGAATGTTTAATTAGAGGCCTATACATAAATTATATTCTGTAGAGTCCTGTAAAGCTGTAAAGCAGGACATGACTCCCCCCCCCCCCCCCCCGACAATTACCCTTCGATATTTTCCCCGACATTACATAACCAGGCAATTACTCTCTTGTCACATGCTTACTGTTCCAAAATTGGAGTTAGACATTTCCTCATATCGATTACAAATTGACACCGAACCCAATAGCCTACCAGTATTAAAAACAATCCTAAATTTTAAATGATATTAAGGTTAGGGCTAATGCTAGTGGTAGGAGGAAGGCTATGTCCGAATGTAGTATTATGATCGCTATCTGACAGCCGCAGATCTAGCGAACACCCCGGGTTCGTTTATGTGTAGTTAATGACCGAGATCCACTAGACAGAGTATGAACACAACAAAATACAACGTGGGCTCGTCAAATTGATCTAGGGGAATAAACACGTAGAAATGATGTGACTCACAACTAGGGGAAAGTGTCAACTACTGTTTAATAAGTGTACAAGTATAAAAATGACACTTGGTCTATACCAAAATAATATAAAAACTAAGAGTAAATAGTAAACCAAAAGTCAATTTACAGCCAACTCACAGTTGATGAAATAAATCACTAGACTAGATAACAAATATCACAGATGTGGCATTGGTGAGAGAATACAACTTAGGAAAAAATATTGGAAACACTGAATGGCACTAGGAAATAACTATAATAGGGGAAAAAATGCCGCTACAAACTAAGCAACACAAAATGGCGTCAAACACACAAGGCACTCTCTCTAGAGAGAGACATCTAGATCTAGGGTCAAAAGCTGCTTTGAGTTTTCGTGTTCAGGGGTTTTTAAACAAGATCAAAACCAAGGGAGGTTACTTCGATGTCGAAAGACCATTGGTCGAGGATTTACTAAGGCTCGAAACAACCAATTAAAATCTCATCACATGACGTGACGGAGAAGTTCAGGTGATTGTACAACTCTCTCAAGGTCGATTACCTAAACCAAGAAACTAAATTATATAATGAAAGAAAGACCCAAGTAGGTCACAGTAGCCGGAATCGCGTCGTTTTAGAATGCAATTTTATAACCGTGTTTATTTTGCAAAAACGTATAGTATTTGTTATTATCATTCTAGATAGGAGGACTTTAATAATTTATGAACAAATAAATAAAAACTTCGCACGCTACCATTCTGCACAATTCACATTACTATTTTTTTTATATCATAAAACAGCTTCTTATAAGTTTACGAAGTTTAATTATTCCAATCTATCTAACTGTCAAAGTTAGCATGTCTCTTTCTTTGAGTTTTCTTACAAACGCGTTGTACTAAATACACGATTTAACAATTCAATAGCAGTATTAAAATAATTATCATTAAAAAAAGTTTTTAAAAACCCACGTTTTCTGATTGAACTAAAAAGTAGAAAATAAATGCTATACATCACTATAACCCTTTGAGCCCTGGCCTCCCTGACCTAATTTCTCCTATTTCCTGAGCTCCCAGGCCCAAACCGATTTTCACTTATTTGCTTCTAACTTTGCCTATAACTTTTGAACCGTTTGAGATAATCAAGCCAAATTTAGTATCCAGATTCAGGATCAAACAACAATGCAGCAAGATTCTGAAATTCTTTATTTTTTTTACAATGTTTGAACAGAACAATGTATATAAAACGAACGTATACTTATTGTTTTGATAAAACATAGAAGAAACCAATTTACATTTGGTAACTGTTTTGTTTTTATTGATATCTGGCCATACTAGTTCAACACCAGAAATCCACTATTGTGTGATAACTTTCAAAACAGTTATCACTGCCGGACCCGATGCAAAGAAAAAATTCGCATGTTTTGCACCAGTAAACTTTTTTTTTCGTTTCGGCAAGTCTTTGTCCTTGACCCCACGTGCATCAGAACGTACTTGAACATTTTCATTGTCGGTGTCAATTTCAATGTTACTAAGTTCAGTCTCAAATTCAACGTCACTATCATCACAATATCGACCAGGAATATTATCTCTTTCATCAGAATCAATAAGTAGTTGCATTGCCTGAGATGCAGTCATTCTACTTCTTTTGTTGATATTTCGGTCTTTTGCTTCATTTTTTGCACCAACTTTATGTGATAAAATCGACGGCTGTAGCTCAGCTTTTCGTTTCGGCGGCATTGCTACGAAATGTAAACACTTTCACTTTTCCTAAAAATCAATTTTTAAAATCATACTCCCGCACTCTAAAGACATATGCGCAGTTTTAGTCAGTCTTCCGCTAATTATATTTAATTAGACGGTATACCGGCCGCTAGGAATATGACGCTAGATCGTCGGGCCGGAAAACCGGCTTTTCGGACATATATGCCTAATGTTGAAGCCGGTTTACCGGCCTGGCGGACTCAAAGGGATAATGCAAGCGATCACTCTACTATAAGCGATGAAAAACGTGGGGCGCCGAAGTAAACGTTTTTTATCGGTCATTGTTAATATAAGATGTAAAAGTTATATTACTATTGATTAGATAATACTATTGACTTTTATTACGGTGCTTGTAGAGAGTCAACAGTATTAGAAACTGTAAGAAAATCACGGCGCCCAACGTTTTTCATCGCTTATACTAGAGTGATCACTTGCATCATTGTGATGTATAGCATTTATTTTCTACTTTTTAGTTCAATCAGAAAACGTGGGTTTTTAAACACTTTTTTAATGATAATTATTTTCTACTTTTTAGTATTTGTCTGTTTGTTTGCATTCAAATCTTGCTATCGATTTGATCTTCTCGCATTCACTTTTTTTTTGGGTAAACGAAGACAACTCGTAAAAAACACGTGCCTTTTCCAATCGATGTGTTAGATTTGCATAGGTTTGTACACAAACACCGCGTGACCACTACTCAGTAAGCCTGAAGAGGGAAAGTACCGAACCTTGTTTTCATCAAATTACAATTACTGGGTTATGTCCCTTATTTTGGTACAAATCAATAGAAGTTTCAAATGATCAATGAAAGTTTTCCATGGATCAATTTAGTAATAATAATAATTGAATATTGTATTGCCATCGGAAACAAAGCCTCCCTGAAAATTTCAGCGCGCTAGCTAGCTGGAAAGTGCCAAAAATTTCGATCGCAAGATTTGATTGGAAAAACAAACAAATAAACAGACGGAAAGCAAGTTAAAGAAAACGTGGGAATAACTTTGCAGCGCACCAATTAAATGTAAATACACGCGCGCCTCGGAAAAATCACACCAACTACAATGCCGCCAGACCCCTCAATGCGGGGGGGGGGGGGGGGGTGGGGGAGGGGGGAGGAAGCCGTTTAGGGGCCCACAGCCGACCATAATCAGTTTTTTAATAGTAAAAAACAAAAATATGTTCTTGTATGTTTGACTTCATGTTTGTTTTATAAAAAGAATACTGGATTATCTTTATTCTATAGACACCGTTCCGAGTCCTCTTTCTACTATATTTAAATACACGCTGTAGTCGGCAAAATTCTTTTGAAAATAAAAAAAGTCCATCGCGCGAGAGATCGCTAGATATTAAGACGACTTAAATCAGAAGGTTTTCCCCCGCCTGAGCTGGGCACATACAGCTGTACACGTGAACAACGTGTGCCTGTCTTTTATGCATTACTACACCATTTATGCTATCACAATGAAAATTTGGGAAGTTTTTGAGTACTCATAGACCTAACATTTGTTTTAAATGTCTAGTTGAGCGCCCCGAGATCCCCAGTGGCTATCTAAGCACCTGGGGTCTGCTTATTGGGTGTCCTGCACAGGTGTACTACTTGAATCAGCAGTCTCACTGCATTAGGGGCCTTCGCCGATGGCCGTGTCCCAAGAGCCCCAGCGACGCCTCTGACACCAATGCCGTCGCTAATTGGTGTTTCTTTCACATTCAGCGTAATGCGGGGCGTGTTTGTGTTAGAAAAAAATATATACATGAGGTGTAGTGTGAAAGATAGCAAACGTTCAAACCACTTCCATGACTCATTTCCCTTTTTTAAATAGTCAAATGTGTGTGCTTTTAAGCACTTTTTAATAGATTTGCTCTAAACAAATTAAAAAAGCAATTACTTTTCTTAATTATTATGTGTTTTATTTTTAAATACATAAAAAAAGAATGACATAGTATAGAAAGGAAATGTACTTAAAACTAATAATATAAATATTAAAGAAATCACACAAAAATAAGCATAACGCGAGAAACCATTACACTTATTACACATACAAAGCTTTCATGCTTCATATTATTTACACCGACTTGTGTTTAGAAAGCATTATAACTGAAGTATATTGAAACAGAGATTTTCTAAACAGACTAATAGCACTCACATACACAGTGTGTTGTTGTAAGTTGTTTTAATTAACAAAAAAGCGGAGGAATTTTTAAAGTTACCCAAAACTCGAACATGCTCGAAATGAATATTGTATGTTGGTGTTTTCGTATTTTGTTTATACATAAGTCTCTCTCTCTATCTCTCTCTCTCTCTCTCTCTCTCTCTCTCTCTCTATATATATATATATATATATATATATATATATATATATATATATATATATATATATATATATATATATATATATATATATATATATATATATATATATATATATATATATATATGACCCAAAAAAGGTGTTGCATTCCTCTAATAATTAAAATTAAGGAGTAAAAGTTTCCATTGTTATTAAACGGTTAATATGACATTTCTTTGAATCTGGTATTTTTCCCGTTAAAACGATATTGAACAGCTTTGTCAAGAACAATTTTCATGCAACTGACGTGCAAGTACCCGATCTAATAGGTGTGAATAACAAACAAACAAACCAAACAAGCATCACCCACTTTGCTATTATAGTTATAGATACCTCTAGTTTAAATTAACATTATAAAAAAAATCTGTATAAGCATTTGTTGGAGTATCGTCAAATGCAAATGCATGTCCAAAACTAATTTTAAAAAAAGTTTTTTTTTTAAATTGGCTTTCAAATAAAAAAAGCAGTTATTTTAAGTAAAACAAAACATTTTAATAATCATGATATTTGTTTGACAGCAAGTTGTAAGCCTTTCGCTTTTAATTGCCGCCAAGATAGAAAATGTATTGGGCTATACAAGAAATGTGACGGCATTGAGAATTGTAAGGATGGATCCGACGAACGGAATTGTTGTAAGTGAGATGAACTGTAGTCAACCGCGTACGGAATTGTTGTGATATAAACTGTAGTCTACCACGTACGGAATTATTGTGAGATGAACTGTAGACTACCGCGTACGGAATTCTTGTGGGATGAACTGTAGTCTACCGCGTGCGGAATTGTTGTCAGATGAACTGTAGTCTACCGCGTACGGAATTGTTGTGAGATGAAGTGTAGTCTACCGCGTACGGAATTGTTGTAAGATGAACTGTAGTCTACCGCGTACAGAATTGTTGTAAGTTTTACTGTATTCTTCCGCGTACGGAAGTGTTGTAAGATGAACTGTATTCTACCGCGTACGGAATTGTTGTCAGATGAACTGTAGTCTACCGCGTACGGAATTCTTGTGGGATGAACTGCAGTCTACCGCGTACGGAATTATTGCAAGTGAGATGAACTGTAGTCTACCGCGTAGGGAACTATTGTAAGTGAAATGAACTGTGCGAACTGCTCTTAAAGAAGGGGAGGAAGTAAAAACCTTGCGGAAATTATTTTCTAAGACCTGTTAACACCAGTGATAGTTACTTAATGCTATCGCAGTCTGGCTGGCTAATGAGCAAAATATTGAGTTAGTAAAATCTCATGGAAAAGGGGGGGGGGGGGGGGGGGGGGGGCAGAGAGAGCATTATATTAATTTTGTATATGCGGAATTATTGCGATAATAAAATAACAAAATGTTCTGTTTCATTTACCAAGCTGAAGAAAGTTACATGTGTATCAATGGCACTAATATCTCATATGATTTGGTTTGTAATGGCAAATGGGACTGCGCCAGAGGCGAGGACGAATACTTTTGTAGTAAGTAACTGGGTAGATGAAATCTGTGCTTAATAGATAACTGTATCATGTGTTTTGTTCATAATCATAATGCATTTTCATAATCATTTTTCAACTTGGATTTTTAATCGGCAAACCCGTTTAATTCTTATTCTTGCATTAAAATGAGCTGTAGTCATTTTATAGAGCAAATAAAAACGTAATAAACTTAAACAAAACAAAACAGTTATATGTTTTGCAAATAATATATTTTTTATGTTTCATCGTTTTCAAAACGTCGTAGCATGTGTTATTCGCGATTCAAATATTAATTTATATTCTATGCAAAAAAAACATTCATAGTTTGTTTCATTCAATTTTATTTTATGTTATGGCTAAGTTTTAAAACGCTAATAACTGAATGTATTTCATTTCTTGACTAGAAGGTTGTAATGATAATGAATACAAATGCCCCTTAAAGTTTTGCAATGCACCTCCCATAAGGTGTAATGGAAATGTTGAGTGTTTAGATCTACTGGATGAATCCAACTGCTGTAAGTTCCTCTTGATATTTATCATTGTGATTTACACAGAGTGCAATAAATGATATAGAAAAACACAAAAGTCAGTCTGCGATTGCAATTTATAATATTTTAAAGCTTAGTTTGCGCTGTAGTGAAATTTCAATTTTGAATTAATTAAAATGCAAATAGTCAATATAAAAAAAATGGTATAAAATGTTATGCATATTAAATTGTGTCTGTCTTTTGAAGCCACAAAAAATTAAAATGAAAGAAATGAAAGCAGTTAATACTGTTTACTATAGTATATTTGATTGTAAATATATCAAATACACCTAGTTAACTGCGTATGTGTATTTCTTATAATAGACTATTAAACAACTTTTAAAAAATTAAAACTAAATATAATATAAATAGCGTGCCCGTTCCCGCGTGTTGTCGGGGTCTTTTAAGAAAGTCTGACGAAATATTTTAAGAAGGTTTCATCATTGCGTTACGATTCCAATATTTTATAATATTAAGATATTTTAATGTAAACAATGCCTACGTTGTATTTTATGGATCGTAGTTTAATAATGTGCTGACCCACCTATCCCTATCACACCTCTTCCTTGTCCGCCATGATAATTTTCATAATGCTTCACAAGATGGCAATGATTTAGCAAAGCACTAAAGTTAGTTTGCAACAAAACAATAACGGTAACGATAACGATGGTGCTTTCGCTTTCGTTATAAAAATATTTATAGTATTCGGTTTGCTTATTCCGACAGCTAAATGTCATAAAGACGCATTCGACTGCAGAAATGGAAACTGTATAGCGAGTTACAAAAGATGCGACGGAAGGCCTCAATGTACAGACGAATCTGACGAAAAGAATTGTAGTAAGTCAAACATACTGTAGTCTACTGTGTGTGTAATAATTCAACTCTAGACTAATATTTAAACGGAAATAAAATAAAAGATCATTACGAATTTAGCTTATTTTGAAATTATTTAGCTAACAAAAACAATGAAATTGTTAAGATAATTCATTTCTATTTTATTTATCCACTAGAAAAGTGTGATAATGGTGCCTTCCATTGTGATGGCAATAAATGCATCGAAAAACTTTTGACGTGCAATGGCAGGGAAGATTGTGATGATGGGTCCGACGAAAAAAACTGTTGTAAGTGCGTCGTGTTATCCCGTGTGAGAATACTAATAGGGCTGGTAAGTAGGTCACCAACCAGTTCTATAGCTCATGTAGGTTTTATTTAGCCGTAGAACTGGTTGGTGACCTACTTACCAGCCTTATTAAACACCAGACAAAAATTGGGAGGGAAATGCGATAATCATACAACAAACAATCAAGACAAACGTACGTACAATTGGTTTAATATGCAATTAGTACAAATTGTATGTGTTGTAGTTCGCTAAGATAATATATTTTCTATTTCATTTATCAATTAGCAAGCTGTAATGATGCTTTCAACTGCGGTAGAGGTGGTAAATGCATAAAAAATGAATTGGTATGTAATGGCTTGAATGATTGCGACGGAGGATCCGATGAAAAAAACTGCAGTAAGTGTCCGACTATTAAAAGTGTTACACAAGACCGCCAGATATACATTATATCGGAGATTCGGTACACACAAAAAAAATTAAAAAAAAAAATAAATAAATAAAATACCAATTTACAT